AAAAAAATGTTACATGGGGTAAATAAACATTTACAGTTTTACACTACATTTCAACCTCAGACTGCAAAAATCTATCAGACATCGAGCTGCATCTTGAAGAAGGCGCAGAAATCCAGGAAGAGGAGAACGGGACCACTGAGCCTTTGTAAATCAAGCAAATACTCGACATCGCCGGTTTTGTAGAGCTGTAATTAGATTAAACAAATGCTCTATTAGCCCCAAACCGTGTGTTATTTAGACAGAATACATGTGTATGTGTAAACTATTGTGTATATAGAAGAAAAGTTCATAAAAGTTAGATGCTACAAATAGTATACCTGAATTTCGAATTTCACCACATGCTGCTGCTGGGACATATTTGCCCTTACAGGAGCTATACCGTCAATAAAATGGTTGTCAATAACGTGATTAATGGTGATCATGCTTTCTGGCTTCTGAATACCGTGAATGAACAGACATTTCATGTTATAGTGACCGATTCTTTTCCACCTAACATTTAGTCCTTGCAAAACTCCAAGAATCTGGGTCATTATGTCACGTGGACGTGCTGCTGACTGGTTTAACGAATAAAATAAGAAAATATGAAATTAGATTTTTTTGAACAAATACATTTCTGTGGACCAACTCCAGATTCATGAGTTTGTTCTTAGTTACATGGGAAAAAAAGAGATTTCAGTTCACACAACTTTCAAAAGTTAATATAGGCCATTAGTAAAGTATTACTCGATTTATAAGGGAAACAGTCTAAATAATAACCTGAAACCCAACAACCCATTGCTTCGTTCTTGACACTTGTGGTAACATATTTGCACCAACCGAAAAGCCACGTTTATTGGCGTCCGGAGAAAGTCCCGTTGAACAAGTCTCCTGGAAACAGAGACGGAAAAGAACAAAACCACAGCAAAATCATCAAAAACCATAAGTGATGACAATGACATCGCCAGATTTTATCTCGTCTAATTGTTCTCATCATCAAAAACCACTTTCTGCTAAAATGGATATCTTTCCTTCCACAGTACTGTCCTCACTGAAGTAAATAAGTGATGACAATAAACTAAAGCACGGAAATATACAGAAAGCACTCATAATTTTTAATTTCTCAACTCGATCTAAAACATTTCACAGGATTACTGGAATGAGAAGGGGTGCTCTCTCCTCCACAAGAAAGTGAAAGGGAAATTCAATTCTTTTAATGTGGTACTAGCCCGAAATTGAAAGTGTTAAAATATGCATGCCCACAGTACCAAATCTTTCCAAGTTCAACAAATATCAAGAACATTCTAGTATCCTTTGTAAAAGTAAGCATACCATGGATTCCTGAAATTCAGCGCCTAGATAACCGGACGAAACGGGGGATTTGTTGTCAAATAAAAGATAGTATGCAACAGTGGCCTGCAGCGTGAGATGGCAACATTAATATTTCAGTTCGGAACTAGAAATCTGTAGCAATGGAAGTTTCTGAATAAACTATAAAGCATACATCATTTTGTAGTCTGTTCTGAAGTGATTCAATCAGCTGGTTCCCATCAAATCCCATCAAAATAACTTTTTGAATAATTTCCGCATCAAGCTGCATAAGGAAAGTGGGTTAGTGATATGAAAGCTCAACTTTCGTGGCTAGTGAATAGTTAAGTAGCTGAAGCATGTATGTAGTGCTCCTCTAGGAGATACGAGGACAAGTGGCAAGCCACTTATCCACACAAACACACAAGCACGCATGCTGACACACCCGTATAAATTAAGTATTACATTTAGCTAGAGAGAAAAGATCCTATACGATCTGAATAACAATAACATTCTCAAAAGAGTATTAAACGGATGAATGTCACATTAAGAACGAAGTAAAACATTTTTTTTGTCCAATGTTAATACCATTCTTCTCTCAAGTGATAAGACACAGCCTATACAAATCTAAAACATGTGGAAGTTAGAAGTCAGTTACCTTTTTTAAATGTTCTACAGCATTCGGTGGAGTGACAGCTAAATAACGAGGAAGATAAGCTTTGAACCAAGGGTGCTGACGTATTTCAGAAGTTGTTATCCTCTTCATTGGGTCCACGACCAGCATTCTTGGAATTAAATCACGAGCTCCAGGCGACAAATGGCTTGGAAGAGTATACAGCCCACTCTAAAATAATCCAAAAATGCATATAGAGCATGATCATCTCCATTTCAAGCAAAATACAGTAGCCATCAACTTCTACTACAGTCATAAATATACCTTTATTTTTTTGAAGAGGTTAGGGATATTCTCATCATCAAACGGAAGAGCACCGCAAAGAAGTGCATACAATATAACACCACAACTCCAAATATCAATCTCTGGCCCCGCATAAAGTTTTCCAGACACAACCTACAGTCATTTCAAAACATACGGAACTTAGCATCAACACAACGTCTAACGCAGCTAATTATAGCCACTATTTTTAGTCACAACTCTTCTTATATATCAACTTGTACTGATTCAGAACCTCGGGAGCAGCGTAGTTTGGGCTTCCACAACTTGTTCTCAGGAAATGTCCATCACGCATAATGTTGCTTAAGCCAAAATCAGCTATCTTGACGTTTCCTTTTAGATCTAAAAGCAAATTCTCAGGCTTCAGGTCGCGATGGACGACCATGTTCCTATGGCAATACTCCACACCTGCAATAATCTGCATCAAAACACACAGAATTCAGCAGATTATGCTTAGAGAAATATTATTTGAACTGTATTCCATCTTGGATGCCAAAATACAACAAATTACCTGCTGAAAAAAGTGACGTGCTTCATTCTCTTGTAACCTTCCCTTTTCAACAATATAATCAAAGAGCTCGCCACGGGGCACATACTCCATCACAACATATATATCTGCTGGTGTCTCTATAACCTCATAGAGACGTATCACATGTGGATGCACAAATAATCGACATATTTTAATCTCTCTTCTCACTGCATAACATTGATAACTCTTTGATATCAGTGAATTAAATTCTCAAAACTCAAAAAAAAAAAAAAAA